CCCGTATTCAGCAAGTGAAAATAAAATAAACAATAAAAGGTGAATCAAATGGACCATTACGGCAAGGCTGGGATGGTCTATTTGGTAAAGTAAATCCGTTGGGCATCTTTCTTTGCCTTTAGACAACAATTCTGATGGCAAAAGAGCCAAACGGGACAGGCAAAAAATAAATAAATAAATAAAAATAAATTTAAAAATCTCTTTCTAAAAGCAAGAAAATACAAGGTTTCAAGTATTTGCAAGTATTTGCAATGTTGTCTTGGTACTTTGTGTTTTCAGATACATTGAATATGTTACTAATTAGCAAATAATTATTGTGTTTTCTATTTACAATTTACACAATGTGCAATCTTTTGTAATGATACTTTAAATAATGTCTGTCATTGCAGACAGTAAAGCCTTGCTGCAAATGAGCAAAAAATCATTTTCACACTGCAAACAAGTGCATTGTCAAAACAGCAATTAAGATGATAGGTGATTTATTTGGAGCAGGTTAAAGTGATCTCTTTTCCACCCATAAATACATCTCCCACCTGTACCAAAATATAATGATGCAGAAGTGCAAATGGGTCTTTTTGTGCTACAGTGTTTGATTCCAGTACTTCAAAGGGTCATAATGTTACAGCAGGGGCATGATGACAGTGCATCCCCACAAAATCATAGTTGTCTGTTCACTCTTTTGGAGCAGATGAGGCTAAATCTGTATGCTAAACTAGAATAGTTCCACCACCTCAGGTAATGTAAATTAAATAAATAACCTGTTGAATTATTATACCTCTTCTAAGGTCCTTGTAGTTTACCTTAGTATTTTGACTTTATACTCCAGCTCCCGTATTTAAGAGGGAATATTTCTCTTTTTTTTTTTTATTCCACCGAGTTTATCTGAGAACCATTACAGCATATTAGGACTTAACATCATCAACATGAAAACTTAACATCATACAGTTATCATAAGCTCAGCTCAGTGTATTTAAACTCGAATGTTGGTACTTTACTACAGTGGTCCCCAACCCCCGGGCCTCGGACCGGTAGCGGTCCATGAGTCGTTTGGTACCGGGCCGCGAGAGTTGAGGCTCAGGTGTGAAATGTATGGTTTTCAGGGTTTTTATCGGTTTTCAGCGTTATTTTGTTATCGTTTTTATCGTTTACTCGGTTTTCCTGGGTCTTTTCACGTGTGTTATGAATAAATCTTCTTTTTTTCGGTACCGGTACTAGTTTTATTTTGTTGTATTTATCCGCGACACCTTAAAGGCCGGTCCGTGAAAATATTGTCGGGCATAAACCGGTCCGTGGCGCAAAAAAGGTTGGGGACCGCTGATTTAGAGAACAAATGTGAGATAGAGATGAGATAGCCTTTATTTGTCAGTTGCAGGTCTTTTGCCCACAACCGAGATGACAGACCTTGCCGACCGTACATACAATACACAAACATCACATTGGGGAGACAGGTCAGGCTAGGTAGCGAGGAAAAAAACATCGAAATGTGTAACATGTAAACATGCTGAAGTACTGCAAAAAGGACATCTTTTGTGATCCTATTCTTCTTCTTTGGCTGCTCCATTTAAGGGGTCACTGCAGCGCCTCAACTGCCTCCATCTCACCCTGTCCCTTGCATTCTTCTCTTTCACATCAACCCTCTGATCTTTCCCTTTCTCTCCTTCTACATCCTTTGTCCAGTATATCATTATCCCTCTGCACATGTCCACTATCTATCTATCTATCTATCTATCTATCTATCTATCTATCTATCTATCTATCTATCTATCTATCTATCTATCTATCTATCTATCTATCTATGCCCTCGCATGAATTGTAATTACCTATGTAATAAAGTATTAATGGGAACAAATTTTTATCATGAGTAAAGCATTCAATCAAGTTACGCAAATATATATTTAAATTTAAAATGTGGGAGTGAAAACAGAAAAATGAAGGTACATCAAGGGGTAAAATGTTCCCATTTCATATTAACTATTCAGATATGTTTCAAAGTCTAAAAGTTCTTCTAGACTTTATAATTAATTTGTTTCAGCGTTCGTATTTTCATTTTCCCTACGTATGACGCGGGTTTGGCGCGGTAGTAGTTTCTGGTGACGAAAACATTTAGGACATATGTCACATGTAAACCGACCAATCAAATCGCTGTAAAGATAAAAAAAGAAAAAACAGCCCCCTCGTCTGCGCAGACTCAGTCACTGAGGAAGAGTCAGAGCTCGCGTCCCACAGAGGATTTCACGTCTCCCTAAAAAGGTACAAAATTGCCACTTTTTTGTATCGTTTCAGGTGTCATCGGTGGTCACAAGTTTAGTTTAACGCTATTAATAGTCGCTGTCTGTATTAGAATGTAAACGGTAAGCCTGTTTGGTTGGGGTTTACTTATGTTTTTGTGGTAACCGGCAAAAGCAAGCTAATCCGGCTAACGTTACCAAGTAGTAGTTAGCTTGGCAGCTTTATGTAAATGCTAACGTCAGCTTTTGTTTCATTGAGCACCTCTGGGCTCCCCTCGTGCGACTTTGAGTGACCACATTCACACTCACCCAGCCTATGAAAAGCTTCATTAGAGGCGGCTTAAAACACAAAACAAGTACAGTTCACAGGTTGACACATTCAGTGTAGTCTGATATTAAGCTATGGTTCTCTGCAGTCAGAGTACCATTGACAGATTAGGGAACTTGTATTGTAATTACGATGTTTTTGCTGCAAATTGTTAAATTAGAGTCCAGCGGACTCTTAGATGACCTGTGAAAGCTTATTTGGTTGAACACGAGCATGGGTATGTTTTTAATGGCACTTGTTGTTTTGTGACTGAATGGGAAGATTTAATGTACTTTCCCATACAGTGCAAGTTACTATCATGGGTCAGCTAAAATCATTGAAATCCACCTGGTCCCCTGTGAATGAGTTAACTTTTTTTTTTTTAATTTTTCACAATAACTTTGCTATAATTAATGGAGCAGTATAAGGTTTAATATTTATATATATATATATATTGAGGACATGGGGATGGGTAGAAATGTTATGCTTTATCTACAAAACAAGTGCTCTGCGAATGTCTGATCAGAAGTAAATGTGACTACAGCAGTAATGATCATGTAATACAGCATAATGATCTTTTCTGAATTCAAGCCTGTTAATTTTTGCCATAAAGTTCAAATGTTAAAGTTGAACCTAAGAAAAGGCGTCATTTTAGCACAGAGTATAAAATGTCCGCAGTGAGGACCTTGGTTTCCTGTCGGTTTTCTCATCTCTCTGCTGCAAAAGCAACCTGAATGAGAAACGTTTCCACTGACAGGTCATAAATTTTGTTGTGTAATTTGTGACCTAAGGCAAACGTGCTCCGTTTTTACATAAAAAATGCTTGTGTTGCTCCCAAACACATCCAGGCTGACAAGTCTTGCTACTGCTGTTAAAGAAAGGTCAATTGTGCTCATTTCCTCTCCGACTTTTGTTGATGGTGATTCCTGATTATTCTGATTCACAGCTTCCTTTGCTTCCTTCTATTCATGGATTGAATTGCATTTGTGTTTCTGTGTATCTTTATGCATTAGCTCTTAGGAGCTCATCATCACCTGTAAAGCTGTATAAGTATCGGGTTGACGGGACTGAAGGAAGCGGCACGTCGTACGGGGAGCTGCCTGCTGAAATCGCCATGAGTTACAAACCCATTGCTCCTGCACCATCTGGCTCCAACCACACTCCACCAGGTATTTTAGGACCAGCTTTAATGTTGTGCAGTGCCGTTATTAGCATGTTGTCAGTTTCCTGTGGTGTGTATGTATAAAACAGTTCACACTGTGACTATGTTCAACAGTCCCATTGCCTTCATAAACCAGTGCTGCCCCACACAATATTTTATCAGTCATTAACAATACAGCATAATAGTATTATTAAACGATTTTTTAAGATTTTACATTTGAAACAAAAATTGCTTGTGTTTTAGGTTCAGCCTTTAATGTGTTCTATCTCTTCTCTCCTTCTGGCCAGGGTCTTCTGTGCCCTCTCCCTCTCTTCCATCGTCGTCCAACTTCAGGCCAGCCTTCAGTGACTTTGGCCCGCCCTCCATGGGCTTTGTTCAGGTACAACAACAATTTAATTGCTCTGATACTTGAATACAGACTGCTTTAGTAAAGAGTTGTCATGTTTTTACTGAAGCATAGGTCACCAAACATGGATTTTCAACCACTCTGATTATGTCAATACTGGACCTTAACTGAGTAAATAAATAAAAAAACAACAACTTGTGTATTCACATACTTTTCACACTCATGTCCCAGCCTGGGGTTTGATTAAATTCACCTCTTTACTGTTACTGAATTATTTCTGAAAGGCGTGATAAAATCTGCTTTATTTGAAGCTGCACAGAAGTTTGTTTTTGTTCCCATACATCCAGCAAAAAGTGAAGCATTAGGAGTTAAACAGTTAGGTTTAAGTAAGTTAAGTTAAAGCATTACAACATACAAGAAGATACTATAGAAATGTCTATCAGTAAAGTCACCCTCTAAGGTAGTAGAAAAAAATGTGCCTTTCTGCACTACTTATCAGTGCTATATTGATTAAGTACAGTAAATATTGTTGGCAGTGGAAGGCGGTCACGGTTTGACTGAAGCATGTTTCATTAGCATAAATTGAAACCAGTGAAGGGAACTTGATTTCAAAAGAGTTCTGAGAGGACATGGGAACAGTTACATTATTGTTAGATGAGACAGTGAATACTTGAACACTACAATACTACATCATTGCAGTATTATAATTATTTCATCATTGTTACACAATGTTCCCTCTAAGCTGCGCGCGTGCGCAATTGCGCACAGCTGGCAGGGTCTCTGCGCAGAAAAAATCTGCATTGCGCACAAAAAAATTCTTACCTGAATTGAAATTAAAGTAAATACGTTAACAATTCTGTTTTATAGTGTTAGTCAGTGAGTGACTGGCTGCTCCCCTATGGGATTAGAACGATGCCACCTTATCCCATAGTCCAGCCAATGATTCGATTCACATTCGTATATACGCAGCTAATCAACGTCGTTGACAAGCTATGACAGCGTCCTTCTGTGCCGACACCTGTGTTTTAGCTAGCAAAGTGGCGTGGCTGATGTGGAGTGAAGCCACATTAATGACAACGTGTACAACCATTGGAGATGTGAGCAGGACAGACGGGAAAAAGTCTGGACTTTATACCACTTTTTAAATTGTGTTGATAGGTCATGTGAAACCAGAGTTGTGATAAAAAAAGAAATATACAATGTTTGGTTTTCTTTCTTCCTTCCTGAAACAGTAAAAACAGCGTTTTATAAGGAAAACGCTCGAACGCAATCTCCGCCTGTTAGCAAAGACAAAACCAAAACACCCCCACTCTTTCCTATTGGTCGAAAAATGTACCATGTCGAGCAATCAAAACATGGCATTTAGTTGTAAAGTAACGGGAGGAAGTTTTAGAAGTTACGGCGGTTTTGAGATGTGAGTGATTTGGGACATTTAGCGCAAATCTTGTGTAGTTAGTGTGTAGTGTATTCAATAGTTTTGTTGTGTGTGTCAGAACTAAATGTTACAGGTGTTACAGGAGTGATGCATCTCCTGTTGTCAGGCCTGCAGGTATCAGGCTTTTGATGTTCTCCTTTATCATAGTGGACAGAAATTATTTTCTTGGTGGCTCAAATAATTTGTGTGGCATCAGATTAGATGCAGAACACCTGATTGTTCTGTAAATAGTGTGAAATGTTTGTTTAAAAAAAACCTTGGCAGCATTTTAGGTAAACAGCTGCAAAAAACTTTGTTGTTTGCAAAACTCTGTAACTTTTTTGAAGAAGTAACTATATAATTAATTGCCCAGCATTGGTCTTTATATACTGTATTTTGCAGACAGAGTTACAGGACTCTCTCCCAGACCACAGACTCAGACTCATAATACAAGTCAGAGCTTTATTAAAAAATAAAAAATAAAGTTGTGTTTTCAAAATTGGAGTTCAAGTTATTTTTACTTCCAATAGTGTTAACATACTACACAGGTCATGAACAAGATTTTTTTTTAATTTTCATTGTAAGTGGGTTAAAGCAGTTAATTAAAAGTAGTCTAACATAAATGTAAATGCTGTAATTTGATTATTTTAATAAACCATGTAACTTGGATGGATTCGATGCTGGCGTGACCACAGTGCACAAGTCTGCTGTTGCTCACAGTGGTCCAAGGGTCCGTTCAGGGAGTTTGTGTGTTCGCTCAGACACATGAAAAATTACAGGGAACATTGTTGTTACATCTGCTGTAAAAAGCAAACATATTTTTCACATCATTCTACAAAACAGAAAAAAAATCTACATTTTTCATTCATGTCTGGTGTGTATGTGGAACTGTGACATGACTAACGTTTTTTACTACTTTCCCAAACAGCCTGTGAAAGTGTCCCAAGGGTCCACCTACAGTGAGCTCCTGTCTGTCATTGAGGAGATGAGCCGTGAGATCAGGCCCACGTACGCAGGGAGCAAGAGCGCTATGGAGAGGCTAAAGAGAGGTATGTTTTAGTAGTCAAAAGTGCATGTCAGTAGGATTCAGATCATTGTTGCTGTTGTTTCGGTGTTTGGGGGGTGGGGTGAAGTTTTGTTTTTTGTTTTTTTGATGCATCTATTATGCAAATGGGATCAGAGGAAGAGTGGTGAACTTTTCACTTGTCTTAGCTCTTTGGTGAATGTGGATTTCACACAGCTTATTCTGAAAATGCTTATTTACTTGCTGCAGTAACAGTGCTCTGTTATTATCCTTTTATATAAAGAAAATTGTCTCTGACTCCAGCTGAAGACTTAAAGCCCGATATACACATTTATAAGAAATTTTCTAGGTAAAGCCCCCCATGACAGCTGGAAGTTACCACAGTCAGTTATCCATTAAGACACATTTGTCAAAGTGTGGGGCACAGTGAAGAATTTAGTGAAACTGAGTTGCATACATGCATTTAAAAGATAAGGTTTGTCACATGACTGTGCAGTCCTGTGAAACTATAAGTACACTCTATGATTTGGTAGCTTGTGTACATTTAGCAGCAATAACTAAAAATAAGTTCTCATTTTCTGTATGACTGAGTTTCATATCTTTGGAGTAATGATCCCACTCTTCTTTACAAAGCTGCTTCAGTTCGTTGAAGTTTGCAGGGATTTGTTCTGTACCTCCACCACTGATAGTTCAAGACAGATGTTTGTGCTGATATGCTGTGTTTGATTTGTGTTGTGCTGTGCATTACCCAGAATATCTCCACTTTAGTCTTGTGTGTCCAAAATGCATCATTCCAGAAGTCTTGTGTATCCACAGTATCTACACCTCCTTTGGTCTTATTGTAGAACAGGATCAGTTGTGCTTTTTTTCCCTTCTCTGGTATTTTCATCCACCATTTTGTTGAGTCCAGATTTGTGCATCACAAACCAAGAAGATCTTTAGGCCATACTCGACGGGCTTGTTTGGATTATATTGTAAAAATCTGAACCTTCCCGTGAATGGCACAAGCGCTTGTCTACAGTGACACAATCACTGGGGATAAACTGTGTGTTAGTTCTTGTTGTGTAAAATAACCTAAGTGGTTGCACTCTTTGTGGTCCACAAAAATATATTCCTGACACTCACACTTTGTAAGAATATGGGGTAATTCCATAGGAAACAAATGCAGGAAGTTTGGGGTAAAAACACAAAAACTAGAATTTTATTAAAAGTATAAAAGGAAAGTTAAAATTTTAAATGGCATGATAGCCAAAAAGTGTTTTTGAGGTATAGCTGGAATATGAAATGACAGCAACTTTTCACTAATTAGGTAGGTAAGAAAACAACATTAGCGGGTCTTCTTTGAAATACTTTTATGGGTTAAATCAACTCAGTTTTCTTGGTTAATGAGAGACCTCTAACTTGGCAGTAATGACTGTTGCGTTTGTTGTATTTGAGTTTTTTTTTTTTTTTTGTAAACTTGCCTTGTGTTTGTGTCATACAGGTATAATCCATGCCCGTGCACTGGTCAGGGAGTGTCTTGCAGAGACGGAGAGAAGCGCCCGCACATAACCTTTTGGACAAATCCCTCCACCTGGCACTGGCACTCTTTTTCCTGTGACACCTGCCCACATCGTGATCCCCATTCGATGTTTTATAACCTTTTTTTTTTTTTGTTGTTATTATAAATTAAATCCTTCCTCTTTCCACTGGCTTTTTAGAGGTGCATTATGCCCCCTTGTATCTGTTCACAGCATTTCCCCCTCGCCCATTTTGGTAAAGACAAACTTTCCGCAACTCGTTGGGCGTACGCAAACAGAAAATTTTATATCTATTTTAAAAATGTGGGGAATTTCAGCATTTTTAGGTCAAGCTGGGGATATCAAAGTGGATGGGAATGTTTATATTTGTTCAACAATGGGATTTGACCAAGAAAGTTGACTTTTTTTAAAGATGTCCCCACTGCACCAGTGCTCCTGTGTCGATTTTGAACATCCAGTTTTCAACCCATGAGCATTTTCTGTTATTCTGTACATCTTGAATATCCTCCTGTTCCTTTCACCCTTGTTTTGTTTTCCATATTTTGTAAACACACATCGGACGTTTCTCATTCCCAAGAACTCTGTATATCTCATGTCAGTTTGTTAGTATGGAAATTTTGTAAACCAGATTTTTGAGATTCGGTATGTATAAATAAAAAAAAAAAAAAAAATCACAAAAAAACTGTAAAATGCTTTTTAGGGTTTTAAGATGTTACAGTAGGTTTTATCAAACAAATGTGATTCAACATCTTTGAATGGAGTGTTTTTTTGTTTTTATAAAAGTAGTTGAAATGTTTATTGACCTTGGAAATAGTGTTTTGACAACATACTTGGCAGATTTATTTCTTTATTTTTAGGAAATTAAACTCAACGGCCTTAATCTAGAAAACATTTAAAGAGCAAGGACAGTTTGTTTTTTCACTCAAGACTTCTGATTGATAGAAAACATCCAAATTTTTTTTTTTAATAAATCCAGCTCTATAGGCCGTATTTAACAAAACACAAAGCTGAGGATAAACACAGATTTATTTACAGTTCCACAATCACAACCTCAATAACATGTCACTGCAGGCAAGCTTGGGCTAAATGACGCACTGCTTCACATGAACAGTAAAGAGTAGCTCTTTCTAAGCAAGTGAATGAGATACTGTGAGTTTGCGCAGAGTACATCTTGACATAAAAATAAAGGTAGTATTTGGTACATACGTGAAATAAGTACACAGTAGAAAGCAAAGACAATGAAAGTGTTTTACAAGATTGTCGCAGAGGTTACGTTTCATGGCCCACGTATCATGTAGTCATGGTGATTCTGCTGTGACCATAATAGAAAGGGGGTGCGAGGCAAAGATGAGATACATGATTGTCCAAAAAAAACAAGATTTTCTGATCATTTTGATCATGGTAATGGGCTCCCAAATTGCAGATAAGTTGATCATTAAAAGGAAAACGCTCCCTTTAAGAAGGTAAATGGAAAAAAAAAACAACCTTCCTTTAAATTAATATTACAGACTGAATTAATGGCTGTGCCTTACATTACAGTCCTCTAAAAAAACTGGGTTTTCACTTTAAATTCCAGCTACAACATAAACATTTTCAAATCAAAATCTTAATTTAACATTTAGAGGACTAAAGCTGCAATGCAAGTTTTGTTTGCGCATCGACCCGTGGCTGGGTGTTTGGCTTGGATGGAATAAAAGTGAAACGCCGAGCGCACCGACTGTTTCTCTCCTCCATCTTGAAATTAACAGGCATCCTCTCGAGTCCAACTCATCGAGACTTCAACCCTGCAAGAAGGAAGGAGTATAACACGCTTCATTAAAACAATACGACTTACTTACAAAACAAGCTCCTCACTTGCGGGCCTGTGAATATGATCAGTGCAATTAGGAAAAACTCAAACTGCACTGACTGTAGTGGCAGTAGCTGGTGGCGTGTTGTAGTTGAACAGGTCCTTGTAGCGACCCTTTTCCTCCTTCTGTTTGGAGCGGATCCTCTCCTCCATGGTTTTCAGCTCCTTGGCCACAGACGGCCCCAGAGAAGGATCCAGTTCCAAGAGCTTCGCGAAGTCGGCTCGCGCCTCCGTCTCGTTCCACACAGCAGCGTGGGCTTTAGCGCGCTTGTAAAGGGCCTTTACGTTGTCTGTTAGGAGGAGGAAGAACAGCTATTCAAACTACAACATTGGTGACACAGGGCAGGGATAGCTCAGTAGGTAAAGTGGTTGCCCATGATTGGAAGGTCAGGGGTTCGAATCCACTGAACGGCTACCCTGAGATACCCCTGAGCAAGGTACTGTAGCCACCCACTGCTCCTCGGGCGCTGCACTGGTAGCTGCCCACTGCTTCACTGGGTGAATGGGTTAAATGCAGAGGAGTAATTTCTCTACAGGGACTAACACATACACATCATTATTAGATAGGAGCTCAACTGGCTTGTTATCCATCATAATTCACAAATTATTGTAATGTGTGACATGCAGAAAGAACGTTTTTTTCTAAACCTAACAAGAATTTAAATCCACTGAGAAGTCGAGGAGGCCCGAAAACACTCGTTTTATTAAAATCTGACTACCACAGTAGCAGGAGGAGCAATTCTTGTGTCTTGCCATCACATCAATCCTTCGGACGAATGAGCTAACGAGAATAGCAGCGTCCAATAATATTAATGACAGTGAGACGCTTTTCCATGCCATAATAACCCTGAACAACTGCACAGTTCACTTGTATGGCATGAGATATAGTTTAGTGTTTGTATGTGCAGAGGGCAATTGTGAAGCAATCAGCTGTCACAAGTAAAATAACCTACATATAATGATTTATGTTATTATGCTGAGCACCCTTATGTTGGTGATAAAACTCCCAAATGGTAAAGAATAAATGCCAAAAATAGTAACAGTATTTTACCATTTTAATATAGAAATGAAAAAAAAACAAACAAACAAGACTAATACGACAACCACAACTGATACGATCAGTCAGGTTCAGGCTGGTTTGTGCGTCTGTTCAACTTTCTGTGTAATACCCCGGAGTGGATCGGAGGACATGGGCATGACATCGATGCGTGGTTGCATCTGTGGCCACGAGGTGGAACCAGGTGATCCACTGACCCAGCTCCAGACCTAAGCCAGGAGGTGCGACTTATCTTTGACGATGAGGCTAGTAGTTGTGGCGGTGTCAGAGTCAAGCGTAAGAGGGGTAAATAATTGAAGTTATGCAATCTGCGACAACTTTGACAAAACTGACTCTAACAGAGTCAGTTTTGTTTAAAAAAAAAAAAAAAAAGATTAAAAGATGTATTTTACCAAGTTTCTTAGCAACGATGATGTGCCACAGAAAGGCAAAAGGGAGAAAGCAACTAATGCTGTATTAAGCAAGACGCTACAGGGCTCTTGAGTGCGACCAAATTTTTCAGTGGTGCAACTAAAAAAAAAATATTTGGTTGCACCTGTGCGACCAACTGTTCAGGTAGCAAAAAAAAAAAAAATCTGCAACCTTCCCTGTGGTCAACAACAGACACACATTTTGCCCCTATCGTGGACTAAACCAATCAGAGATAGTAAGGGGCGGGACCTCTCTGATTGGCCGTGGTCCAGTTGAAAGTGCAGGTGGAAGTGGGAGGTGAGTAGCTTGAATAAAGCGATATCAATTCATTAAATCCTGAATCGACTTTTAAATATAACTGTGTTTTGCCAGAAACGCCAGATTCTCAGATTAAAGCTCACAAAACCATTTCAACAACAACCAAACAGCAAATGAGAGCAGGTACACGGACTCCACACAAAGACGTAAACACAGAACGACCCGACGCATCAGAATCAACTTTGTCTTTCTCGGCTTTCTCACCCGACGGCCCGTAGACGGACACGCTGTCGGAGCTTAGCGATCCTGATGCGTCCGGTCCGCGCTGTGTTTACGTCTTTTTGCGCTGATTCTGAGCTGCAGGTTTTGTCTCTCCAACCAAAATTCACCGAGCCAGCAGCAAAAGAAGCAGCAAACTGCGCTTCACATTTGATCAATGTCGTCATGAATTTTGCTGTTTTGCTTCCACGACTATTAAAATCACACTCCATGCACAGCTAGCTCTCTCTCTATCTCTCTCTGTACTTCAAGAACAGTTTCCGTCTCCAATCTCTGTTTTCTGTATTATTCATTCGCTTATTACCCACCAGTCTACCGTTGTTTACAGCGCTGTGGCTGCTGTCTTTTTCTTTTCTTTTTTTCACTTAAATGACCTCGGACAAGAAAGCCTATTTTTTCTGTTGTTCAATACTGAAGAAATTTAAACTTTATATGCAGAACATTGTAGAATATTTTTAAGGTTATCTGCTATAAAAAGCCAGACCAGGAAAATCTCCTTCATGTTTTTCTGTGTTTTATTCTCAGTTACTTTCACACAAAGGCATCTGCTGTGATGTTCACAATTCTGATGAAGTCAGTACTGATAAATGATCAGAATTATAATATTTCTGACTGTCTGAGGCTAAGTTGAATCGAATCGGGACTTTGAAAACCGGAATCGAATGGATTATAGAAATCAGTGATGATACCCAGCCCTAGTGAGCAGCCTAGGCACGACAGAAGTGGATGTAGCTGTAATAGGAAAAGAACTATTGCTAACTTTTCTGTTAAGTTAAGGCCTGATCCTTCTGAAATTCATAGCCAGTGCTCTGACACGGTGTCATCAATCTTTGAATGCTGAAAAAGCACAGTGTATCCAGAAAAACACATTATATTATATCAATTATTATAAAATTTGTGTGCACCTAACTTTTGTGCCGGTACGCCCATGGCAAAAAGTTAGTCTAGAGCCCTGCGCTAACGTTTAAGTGGTGTCATCCGTCAGCAGTGAAATTGGTGCAAACTAACTAAATTTGAGTCATGCAGCCTTACTCTCGTATTTGAAGAGAAGGGACGAGCAGTGTTCGATGACCTCGTAATACTGGCCCTCGAGCAAGAGGCACTGACAGTAGTTGAGAAGCAGTGTTGTGATCATCCGGTCCAACTTTAACCAACTTTCATCTCCAGGTTGCTCCTGAATAAAAGATTTCACAAAGTATTAACAAAATGACAAGAGACACAAATCTTAATTCCACTTGAAAACATATTCAAGGAAGGAAATGTATGACAGCAATGTGTCCATGGTTATCAGTGCACAAAATGCATGACTGTCCCCCAACCTTGATCTGTAGGTTTTTAAGGCAGGCGATGCCATTGTAGTATTTGTCTCTGGCCTCACTGATGTGGCCTTCTTTGAAGAGCTTGTTGCCCTCCTCGTGGATCTGAGGCACAAAACTGAGTTTCTCTTCATCCGTCATGGCCCACACATCCAGCTGGAATGACCCGGGAGGAAGAACCTGGGCAGGCAGAGAGACACATGAAGTATATTTAGTATATTTGATGCACCTATTAATGGAATATAATGAGTGTATTTACTGAGGAAGAAATTTGAAAAATATATATTTTTCACTAGTATTTTCTTTCCTTTTTCATGATCCCATGAAAAGCTTGAAAATATTTCATAATATAGATTAAACAACTTTACAGTTAATACAAAGTTAATACAGGCTGAAACAACTATTTGATTTATAGCTAATTAACTGAAAATTATTCTAATAATCATTTTTCATATAAAAATAACACATTTTTACAGTACCAGCTTTTGACAAGTGAGATTCTGCTGCCTTTTAGCTCATTTAGTCATTGATCTACTTAATGGATAACGTAATGATAATAAAATAATAATATTATCCTTCACATTTAAAAATCTGACAAATCAAACATGCAGAGCTACCTGCTGTGGTGACGTTTTGTGAATAAAAAAAAAGCTCTATTAAGTTTGGACTACTGGTAAGATCAAACAAGCATAATTAAGGTGTCACTTTGGACTAACAGCACAATCTTTAATGGCCTAATCAATAAAGAAAATACAAAAATATATATGTACAAAAACTCAAGTACTGTGTTGGTGCTATTACTGGAACCCAACCCAGCACCACCATTGATGTTGCTCTCCTTCCTGCTCACCTCCAGCAGCTCGATAGTAAAGACAAGTGGCTGTGGATTGGCTTGGAGATGATCCAGGTCCTTGTGGCCCAGAGAGTGGTGCGAGTGGATCTGGGCAATGCCACAACAGTGCCTCTGGCCTTCCAGAGGGTCCTTACCAACACTGATGTTTCTTAAGGACTGGGACACAAGCGGATAAAGTGCTGTGTGCTGAGGAATGAGACAGAGATACAATCAGCCCTGAGGAAGAACGAACTGTTAAACCAATCAATTCCAGTATCACCAGCTTACCAACCTTGGTGTCACAGGTAAATTCTGCAACTTCTCCTTCTCTCATAGTGATGACCAGTCTTTCCCACACAGCCAATTTAAACTTTTTGCCCAGGATGAGCTCCATGGGTTTACTGCGGCCCCCCATGGTTCTGGAGTCATCCAGCACGGTGCCCTCACACAGGCTGGTGCGGTAGTGAAAGACCACCTGATCATAAAAAGGGAAATGGTGTTATTACCTAAAAGAAGGAAGAATTAGCACCCCCAAATGACATATCTGTAAAGGTCTGCGTTGTATCACACTGTGACCAATCACAAAAATGAAAAATTGACTGACGTGAGAGCTCGACGAATCAGAATTCACAAACACAGGCCGTCCTGTTCCCGCCCCTATCTTTCCATCAGATGAAACAGAGGGGGGGGAAACGAACCAGGCCTAAAACGATCCTAACCCCGTCTACTACTGTATCACCATAAATCGACAAAACACTCTAGCTTGTCGGTGATGTGTGTACACAGAAGCGTCCGATACAGCAAAGACTCGGACTGACTCGAGTCCAAAGTGTTAGCAAAGGTATAAACGCCGATAGCATTAGCTAACGTACCTCGTCGCGTTACTCAGACTAAAGCCTGGATTGAACCCGATCAGTCGCTGGGACCGGAGGTCTTACCTTAGTTCCATTGGGAAAGGTCGATAAGTCTCCTTTACCGGGACTGGTTAATTTCTTTTTAATTCCCTCCGCGAGAAGCTTGCGAGCCTCTTCCTCCATCCTCGGTCGACTCTCAGTTCACGAGATATCACGATCTTTCGCGAGTGCTGTCGTTTCGTAAGACGTCATTAGGGGCGTCATCTAGCGCGAGCTTTTCGTTTTAAAAGAAAAACAGCTGTAATGGTTTACAATTGTAGATGCTCAGAAACAAACACGCAAAATAACGAAATAAATAGATTAAAAAGATTATTATTTACCTACGCTTTTATTACTTTGATATTACCTCCTGATAAGAACAGTCCAAATGTGGCCAGATGATGGCGCTCTCGAATATCGGAATAATGCAACGTATTTGTTTTAATTACAAACACACACAAAACGTTTCATATGTTTTTACTTTTTATGAGTTCTCTATGTACATTACTGTGCAAAAGTCTTGAGCCACCCCCTCACCTTTTTATATTTTCTTTCCGAGGAGAGAGACTTAATTGTGTCTTGCAGGTCTTTCAGAGATTTTCTTTAGACATTGGCTGCTTTTTTTTTTTTTTTTTTTAAGTTTTTTACTCATTTTCAGTCCAGACCTTGTACCTTACAATTTTTAGAGGAATGTTTGTTTGTTTGTTTGTTTGTTAAGTAACTTAACACTGACCCACAAATCATTCAAGCACAAAACAAATCCAGTGAAGACTTGACACAGGACCTGAGAGATTCTTAATAGAGCCATCTACTGTTGACTGAAGACTCATCAGAAACTGTCTAACTGGAAGGGTGGCTGTCAGGAAGCCATTCTGAAGGAAGGAGACCAGAGAGAAAAGGCTGAGGTACAGCCATCTGTAAAACACAGCGAAGCCTCTGTCGTGGTCGGTGCATTTCAGCCAGTGATGTTGATGATTGTGCCACATTTGATGGGAATATGAACACAGAAAAGTGCCATCAGATTTTGACCCACCATGCAATATAATCTGGAAAGCATCTGATGGGCAACAGCTTCATTTTTCAGCATGACAGTTATCTCAAACACACTGCCAGCAGCATACACACCATGCTTATCTGTTATTTCTCCTCCTCTGTGTGGATGTGAAAGTCTGCAACCCATTGATTTCCCACACTCTACCTGCTAGCCTCCGGCAGATGGACTTCATCATTTTTGTGAATTACCATTATTTTTTCTCATCATAATGGTCCAAACATTGTAGCTTCACACAGAGTGATCATCAGTGCAGATCACCAAGAACCCTGTTATTTTTAAGAAAGTGCTACCTTACTCCTGGCTCAGCAGTTATCTGACCGGTATGACAGGAAAGCAGCAGAACCCAAGTGTCCTTCATTGGGTTTGTTATTATTGCTGTTATTTCTTTTTAAAACTGGGATCACTGGAGATTTAGATATTTAGAATAATCTATTGTCAATGTAAATGGAAATAGTTTCTGTTTATTGGGTCCAATTGCTCTTTTTAAGAGTCAATTAAATCAACCCTGAACATTCAAGTGCTTGTTTAGCTTACTTTCATAGATGCACACTCTACAGAGGATTTGTGAGGTAGTAAAGAGGTAGTGGTCCTTTGTGTCATTAGGAATAAAATGTGATTAAAAGCCTGCTGGTTTGTCATACTCATAACTGATCTGATCAGGCTTGAAGTACCAAACCAGTGGCAGTATATGTAGCACAGTGCTGCAATTCAATTCATTATAATATATTATATACTGCGATTCTAGCCATAAACCCATCTGTCCTAGAGTAACACCCTATTAGAAACACCACATTCACTAAGGTATAAGCATCCAGAGTAATGTTTGAAATGTTGGAGACTCATACATCTTATGCATTTTTACTAGATGTGTAGACTTTATATTTTTACATTGTTTTAAGGTTAAATGAATAAAAGAAAGTTCAGGTTTATCAGTTTGCTTTAAAAATGTACAAGGATCAAATCAGGTGTCATGTCTTATCTGATCTGGCCACTTTTTGAATTATGGCAAATGTGAGCTCTGAAAACTTGTTCTAGCTCTTTTCTGTAGTACTGATTCTCTCTTCATCTTCACCTCTCCACTACCTCTGTGTTTTAATGTGCATGCCACGTGCCTCATCTTCTCTATTCTCACGTGCTCTGTCCTGTTGTTGCTTCTGCTCATTAAAAAAAGATGTGATCAGCATATGCTCCTCCAAATCTTACCAAATTTCATTTTATTGTCCTTAATACTCTAATTAATATGATGTTTATTTATGTGAAAAACAAATTAATGCACTTTGGAATTGTTTTGTAGATTTAACAGAGGGAATGGCATCAAATCATGTGTGTTAATCACAGGCTTAAAATTGGTTCTTTGCTTAGTTGTCTGTTACAGGTAGACCTAACACTGACTGATTTAGGTGCCTTTTTATGCTTGAATGATTCATAGGTCAGTATTTTAAATAAAAATCTATAAAAATGGTTAGATACAAGGACTGGTCTACTGCTCAAGACCAGTGTCTCTAAGCATATTTTTAATTTAAGCTGAATGATGAGACTCCTCCAGGGCAGTAGGTCCAAAAATGTTATCTACTGTTTTTTTTTTTTACTGTTTTAATTAACTTATTTTGTGGTGCATTTTTAAATATTTGCCAGCATAATGAAAATAGCCTTTTTGTTATATTTGTGACTAAAAATGTATGTTAAAGTATTCTACATGTTTCATTTTACATTACTGTGAAATATAACCATATACCATCCAGAAATTATCACTAATTGACTTTTGCAATGTGAAGTTTACTAGTTTTTTTTTAGTGTGTGCTCAAATATGGGACTTTTTCATATTTTAAGGCAATAGGATTTTTTGATGTATCCCGGTTCAGATCAAATTTCAGGCTTTTATCCTTAATAGCTTGTTCAGACAGGTTCAAACACGGCCTCAAAATCTGAAAAAGAAACGTGCTGGAAGCAGGTCAATGGACCATTTAAAAAGAAAGTATTACATTTAAATTGAAAGTAAATTTAACAGCAATTATTACATATATCCAAACTTTGGACCATGAAATTGTATATAACAAATATATATGTGTGTGTGTTTGTGCAATCCTAATGCTTCTATTAAATAGATTTGATCCATCAGCCTTTAAAAGCAGACCCAAAGCTACTTCTTAATTAGCCTTACAAATTGAATAAATGCGTAATACCTTTCAGAACAGTTTATGAATGGAGTGAGTCATAGATAAACATGTTCTTAGAACCAAGAAATAGCAGAAGGTCAAAAATAGATTTCTCTGAAAAATGCACTCAATAACAGATGCAGAGGTAAATGCCTGATTTTGAACTATATAACATCTACATTTTAAATATATTGTGAAATATATCGTGATTTAAATGAATGGCTTTTCATTAAAACCAACTGACACAAATTAAAATATACAACATTTTATTGTAATTTCACAGTCATCTTTCACGTAAAACAGAATACACAGGCGAGACGGTGGTCTTTTTGGTATACACATACAGTAATGCCAGTTCATGGAGTGGAAATATAGTGAAGGCGCTGAGTGGTAAAAGTAGGAGTGGTCAATATGTCAAACAAACCAAAAACAAAGAAAAACAACAAAAAACAGGTCAATATATCTTATGAGTGTCAAAATACCATTAATTATAACATAGTTGAAAGAAATGTAGTGAACATGTCTGGTCACATGAAATTTCATTTTTCAAAATAAGGTAGGTAGAACAGTTTGAAGCCTCTTCTACCACGGACTGCACAGCTGATGTAAATCACATGGTACACTGCGGGCGAACACACAGAATGGCAATATTAGCATTCATCAAAACAAAGCTTTGCACATAAAAAGACAGGTAAAAGGTTTAAGAGATAAAATGAACAAAATTACCTCCAGGGATAAACAGAAGGAATCCAGGAATGAAGAAAATAGCACTTGAAATACCTGTGGGGACAGTTTTATCAGCTACAATCAAGAGAAAACACGCACAACGCTTTGAGTTCTTAATTAGATTAAGAAAGTACCACTTAACTACCGGTCCATTTAACATTTACATGCTCTGAAACAGCCAGAAATGCTAAGTTAAATTAGAGGATTGATGAAGTTTGCCTGTACAGTAAATCTGAAGCTACAGCTGCATAAATATTGAAAATGACTAACTACTCTTTTGACAAGATTTACACGTTGTTGTTGGAAATCACTGCTTAGTTTTCTAACAATATTAATAAAAGGTGTGAATAAGAAGGTGAAAAAGTATCTTATGATTATAAATTATGTGGCTGAAAGGAAGGCATAAAAATGGAGAAATGGTAAATGGCCTGCATTTGTATAGCGCTTTTCTAGTCCATAGGACCCCAAAGCGCTTTACACTACATTCAGTCATTCACCCATTCACACACACATTGGCGATGGTAAGCTACATTGTAGCCACAGCTGCCCTGGGGCGCACTGACAGAGGCGAGGCTGCCGGACACTGGCGCCACTGGGCCCTCTGACCACCACCAGTAGGCAAACATGGGGTTAGTATCTTGCCCAAGGATATTTGACATGCAGCCAGGAGGCAGCCTGGGATCGAACCACCGACCTTCTGATTAGTGGCTGACCTGCTCTGCCACCTGAGCTACAGCCACCCCAGAAATGGACACCAGAAACAGCCAAACTGCAAATTCCTAATATATAACCATCAATATCGATGGTACTTTCACTTTAGTTAGGCAAAATTTAAGTGGTGGTATCAAAGATTTCAGCTGTAGCTCAATCTGTGATATTTGCAGCTGCCTGTGGGAACAGCAAACCACATTTATAACTACAGCTCACAGAATTTTGTTGTAATTTTCATAAACAAACCAGGAAATAATTGGCCTCTTTCCTTCACTATGTGATCTCATTTTATGTTGCACATGAAAGGAGTCTGAACAGTGTAAAACACTTGAAAAAAGAATGCTTGCACAGCTGGGCTGCACTTACAGACTTTCTGGTTATAAGCAAAAGGAAATGGTCACAGAAAAAATAGTGCATACTTTACAACATTTTAAAGTACATGTCTAAAGGCCCCTATAATTAGATGGAATTTTATTGGATTTAATTTAAAACGACACTGTAATTAGATTTACCCACAAATACTTAAAGGTAGTTACACAAGAATAAGGGGGTAAC